AAAATTTAAATATATTATGAACATTTTACTTTACAATTGAATTTCATTAAATGTAATAATTAAATAATATCTGGGGTGTATCATATGCCTGAACCACACAGGAAAATTATGTTTATCAAGTAAGTATTTACTATGTACGTGATTTTATAACCTTTGGTGCATAGCAAAGATTAGTATTCTAATAATCAAGTGCAGTGCCATATTAATTTATTATAAACAAACACAATTATTATTTTTATTAGAAAGTTTAAATATAATTTATTTAACAAACAAAGCCACTCATTTTGATGAAATGTCCTGAACATATATGACACTAGACGATGGGTCATGTTTGGTGATGAAGTTGAAGAATAAAAGTTAAATTCCAATGATTAATTTAATGAATAGGAGATTTCTACTTCTTGAGCTATAACTGCATTTAGAAAAAATATTTCAACTTCAATTTTGGTTTCAAGCTTCAACCTCTTTAGAATTTCATGAAAATGTGGTAGCAAACTCAAAAGGAAATGATGGTCATCTTTTATTTACTTCATCTCTATCTCTTCTGCTGTTAATATTTTTCCATATAATCAATTTTCTTCTGTTACATAGAAAGAATATGATTAATGGCATTGACCTATCAAGAGCATTTTTTCCTTTCATTTGGATATTTGGGTTTTTGAAAGTTATAGGATTTGTACTAGGAAGATGGTCTTTTTGAGCAGGGTCTCCAAACATTTCGTCATCCTGTGTTTCCCCACTAAAGCAGCTGTATTCAAAATCAGTATTGATAATGATCTTATTTGCCATCAAATTTTCTTCTTGCTGTGAAATTAAGTAAGATGACTCAGAGCACTGAATTGTAACAGGTTTATTCGTTTTAGTTTATCTTGGAGAACAAACATCCATGAGGAACAAAAGTTGGGAGTAAACCTTCCATGAAGACATGTGGATATCACATATAGCTACATCATCTGTTGTGGTTTTTGAGATTTTGACCTGCTTTTCACGAAAGGTTTCCCTCAAGTTTTGCCATTTTGTTTTCACATCTTCAGCTGAAAATTAAAACATATATTATAGCTTTTAGATATGTTAACAACCCATGCTCAATTTATTATCACTCTATTTTTAAATGTTCCTAACATTAGATTCTTTAAAATAATATTCAGAATAAAAGACCTTTCACATTACAAATAAATAACTCACATTGGTTACCACTGAACAATGTATTTTTAAAAACTTAATTTTGTCAACATTTTTATAACACTAAACATTCATTTCCATAGATTATAAAAATGTGTGTTTTAGTGGATAAAATTATATTTTATTAAATTAGTCTATATATAATTATAATAATATATGTTTAAATTGAAAGTTTCAATCCTATGAGTTATAGTCATATTACAAAATATGGTAAATTGAGATTTAGGCATATATTTAAATTTAAGTAATTTAATGCATACTTTATTATTAATAATATCAGTATATTGTGAGGTAAATTTAATGTAATAACAGTATCAATATATTTTAATATATATTTTATCTTTTTATTTACAGAAAACTCAAGTGAAGAACTTTAACAATGATACATTTATTAAATATGTTTTAAATAGTAGTAGGCCTCTTGAAATAGTCATATTAAATGGCCAATTTTTCTAAAAATAACTAGATCTATTTTTAAATATTTTAATAATCATCAAAATATTTTCAATTTGAACAAAATAACATGGTAATATTCATGATTACTTAATTCTACTTATGATATAGCTTTCAGGTGGACACTATCTTTTTCTGTTGAAATTTTATTTCAGTAGTTTTGTTAACATACTGCAGTAGTTTAAAATTTAAGTACCGGTATGTATATTTAAATCTACAAATATGTTGGCAGAAGCACTTTTTATAAAATGTTTTTTAATAGTTAAGATAAATGATTTTACCAGCAATAAATCTATTTCTGCAAACAAAATTATTGGCAATATCTTTATTAATATAATTTCTAACAAGCGTTTTATTACACTCTAATTTACAGAGACTGTGCTTGTATACATTGAAATTTTAGATTTTAAAAAAAAAATAATTCACAATTTTTTTGTTTAGCGTACCAGGTACCGTTTCTAAATAGTTCATAGGCCTACAAACAAAATATTCTATAAAGCTAGACTTTACTTGTATTTTACACCACTGTATTTGGTAGATTAATAATATAATCCAATGAAAGTTTTTAGAATGAATTAGGCCTGGGCCTACATAGTTTATATTATTTGGATTGGGGGGGGGGGGGGGGCTTTGGCCCTCCCTAAAAATCATAATTTT